TCTGGGGGTGTTTTTGAAAGAAAATTAAAAATCGGGAGTCAAAACGCAATTTAGGAAAGTTGTGCCACATCAGCAGCCACGTCGGTATCGCAATCAACAGCCCATGCCAACCAAAACATGCCGCGTGGCAAGGAAGCTGACGTGGGAGACTACGCCGACGGAGCCACGTGAGCGATCCGCGGGCACGCGATCGAACGGTCCAAATCTCACGCGTGCGGACGGCCCAGATCTCACGCGTACAGACGGTCCAGATCGCATCGTGATGACGGGCCGGATTTATTTTCATTTTAATCGCGATCGGACGGCCCATATTAACCATGATGGACGACTGAGATTAAAAGGGGAAGGTTATAAATAACATCACCCACACCCGACCCCAAACTATAGCCGCCAGTGCCCTCGCCGGAGAAGAAGAACCAATCGCCAGAGGAGCCGGCCACCGCCACCCGCCACCGCATTGGAGGGTTTTCTGACCGCCAAACGAGGTAAATTTTCTCTCATTGGCTCGTTTTTCGAAACTGAATCCGCCTATGGCCAAGTCGGAGCCAAACCACCGACCAATCGGCTGGAAAACACTGCTGAAGTCCAACGGCGCCACCGCGGCTTCTTTTGGTTTTTGCCTCCGATGAGGCCCTTTTCAGTTCCCGTTTGATGCAATTTTTACACCATTGTGATCACTGTCCTTTTCTCTACAGGTTAACCAGAGCAAAACATCAAACCGCGACTCGCGCCGGAGAAGCCGCCACACCCGAGAGCTCCGCCGCCGGTAAGTCTCAGTTTTTCGTAATTTTTTGGCCCACCGAGGGCTCTAGGATTGTTTTATCGCAGGAACTAATGCAAGTTTGGCCGAATTCGGCCGAAAACAGCCAACCCGAGGCAGATTGCCGCTGCGGGCGACGGTGCCGTCGCCGGAGCACAGCGGATCGCCGCCATGCTGGAATTCTGATATTGGCCGAAAAGGGGCCCTGGGTCTGATTTAGGATTTTTTGGGACACGTGTAGGTACCAGTAGTGCGTTTCAATTTTCTGAAGAAAATTCAGGGAATTTAGGGACAGCTCATACGCACATTGTAGAGCCGATTTCAGACCCTGAAATAAGTAAAGATCTCTCACCCTGTTTTCTATCACGGTATTAAAGTTTAATAAATGATAAACGGTATTTTATGATTAATAGATATGTATAATTAATTAATGTTACTAATGAAGCCCGAATCTGATGTATTTTTCGGTCAGTTGTATTTGATCTATGTTTTAATTTTAAATGCAGTATGATATTTGATGTATTTATTTTATGGTCTCGTATGCATGAATCATGGTTACTTTTATTATGGTTTGAATTATAGTGAACCCGATGTTGTGTTGTTTTGTTGGTGTTCAGTATTGGTTTACGTGTTTGTGTATGATTGAAAAATTGAGACCAAGAAAAATGGGAAAAAGGTTATGTGAATTGATAAATGGATAATGTGGACAGCTTGACTAAATATCATGGGAGATGGTGGACGAACCGGATCCATAGGGAACCCTACCGGGAACGTGGTCTCTCATATCGGACGGAGTATGGAGACCTTATGTGTTTTGATACCCATACCGGACGGGGTATGGGGACGGCCCGTTTCACTCTCATACCGGACGGAGTATTAAGATTTATGGTTTTGGTACCCATACTGGACAGGGTATGGGGACGACTCATTTCACCCTTATACTGAACGGGGTATTGAGGTTCATGGTTTTGGCGCCCATACCGGACGGGGTATGGGGACGGCCTTAGAATCAGATTACTAATGTTAATAGTTCATGTGTAGTGGAGACTTCTTATGGACCCCCATGGATACTAGTAGACTAGTAAAAGATGAAATCTGTTGTCTGATTATTGAAGTGCAAAAGTATAACATGTGTTACATTACAAAGTGTATATGATTTTATGATGGTTATAATGTTATTGTTTCTATATGATATTTTCACAAATATCACCGAGATAAATAGATAGTAAAGGTTTTTATTTTAAATAAATGAGTTCGTTATAAATTATGCTCCATTGGTCGTTTTTATTTTCTACCAACCTTTACTTCTATGGCAGTGAGATAGTGTAAGGTTCTTACTAGGGTAGGGTCCCTCATTCCTTACTTAACCATTTCAGATCAGAAAGACGTAGTTCCCGAGCCCGTTCCGCAAGAAGACGGCGAGTTAAACGCCTAAGGATTTTATAATTCTATTTATAGTTTTTATTTCGAATATTTCTTTTAATTAATTTATTCTTTCATACGTTGAATATGTTTATAGTTATTGTGTAAGGGATGTTGATCAGAATTTTTATTTCGCTTCCGCATTTAAAAGTTTTAATACATACTTCTTCATTTAAATTTCTGAGGCCGTTACATTAAATATGTGCAATATAGATCGTCTTTATACTTGTGTTGTATTAATGACAAAATATTAAAATTTTATAGTCGCTTTAATATGTCTAAGATGAGATTCTAGAGTCAAGTATGAAATATATCTAATTTCATAATAAAGTCTTAGAGCCGAATATCAAATAAAAAGTCATACATTAAGTATGTTGATCAAGTGATTTGAGTTAGATACTTGAGTAGTATCTGAACTTGTAATTCGCACGATATAAAAGAGTGACATACCCAACTTAGTGGGAGCTATGTTGTGACATACATATCATACTATATGTGTTGTATGACGACCGATATAGAAAGTGACAAAATAATTCCCTACTTTGTCATTGTGTGAAACTTATGGACTCTTTATTTTCTTCTTGTATGATACTCTTCGACTTGGAGTTATCACATAAAGTCAAAATTTAATGTTACTACTTTAATATGTTTCCAAGAACCACGACCTATACAGTCCAGCAGAATATGTTAGGAAAACAGTCAGGTTAAGATGAATTTTTATAAGTGTTTAAGGAAAAATCTTTCTAATATCATCACAAAAGTCCAGACAGTTATATTTTGTATATGATCAAGTAATGTAAGTATAGCATAGAAGAACAATGTATGCTAACGGTGATGTTCAAATAATCTGGGATATTATAAATAAAAAAGTATTATATTAGTTATATGGTGACTTAATATAACATTATTTGTTGCCTTCATATAGGACATGGTCGCACACACCATGTCCTATATGAAACGTGAGAGATATATTAATATAGTAGTACATTGTGGTTATTATGATTTGTGTGGCCAAATAAGAGATGTATAAAAATTAGAAACATTCACAACACTCATTGTAAATAGACACGACCCTTCATGAGTTTATAAAATAGAAACTCTTCTTGTCAAATAGTATAACTCTTGATGAGTATGTAAGAAAGAAAAAAATTGTTTCTATTTATTTTTTAAGAAAGCAAATAACATTAAAAAAAAAATATTATCATTCTCTCTCTCACGTTAAATTAAACCATAAGTAAACTTAAATTTTAGAATGTGAAAATTATCCAAAATTCTAATAATATATGGGAGAAAACAAAAAGCATCAACAATTATTCTCTATAGGTAGAAAAACAAGCATTTTATTCTATTATTTCTGCATCAAGATTAGTCCTAATATTTTCTATCAAAATGCTTTCCTAACGGCTATTGTACTCTATCCAAAATAAGCTCCATTAGACGTAATCAACGTGAAACCTTTCCTAGTTATAGACAGAAACTACTTGATTTAATAACTTAAACTTTCATTTAAAAAAAAAAAAAAAACTTAACAGTTCTTTGTCAATTGCTGAAACCATCTCCCTGGGACAAACTCAAGATTAATGATTTTTTTTTCACTAAAACATTAGGCGATAAAATAAAATGTATACAGCAAGGAAATTCATGTAAGTTAAAAGTAATTTTTCTGCCAAGAAATCAGTGAGTATATGTTGTTCTGGATCCTTTAAGTCTAAGGGCAATCATCACAAGTCTCTGCCATTGATTGATATGATGCACTTAACTGGATATATTCTTAGTTCTGTTTTCTTTATTTTCTCAATGGGCGCAGCTTACCTAAATTTTTTTTTCTGCTCCTGCTGTAGAATGGCGACTGCTTATCTCGTTGATGCAACATTGCTCGTACCTAGTATTAGGAAGAAAAAGACAACTGTTATTAAATCCTTTAAATTTGTATCCACATTGTATTGATCATATTACTGAATGCAAACATATTTTTCTCACCTACACTTTAATAATGTACAGAACAGTTAGAGTTATACAGAAAGTAAACATACCATAGCTTATCTGGGAAAGCAGGGTAATTCACAGGGGCTTCAGAAGCATTATGACACGGTTATGTCCAATACGAGTCTCACTTATGCGACCAAGGTGACGAAGTACCTATTAAGCACAAACATGTTATCCTCTGAACTTCTTGAAAGCCAACGTACTCAGACTTCAGTGCATCAGTTCAAGTTATTGCAACTTTTATCACCAAAAAATTTGCATGACATTGACACGTAGGAAAATGTAAGCCAGAGAGGCCCTCACATGAATCACAACCAACACGTAGGAAAATTTTCAATATTACGTTTCGACACTGAAGCATGAATTAATGTGCATAATTCTGTCATAGAATAAACTGATTTACTGACCCAACTGAAAAACAGTAGGACAGGAGTGAGATACTCACTGTGAGGATTGATTTTCCAGTATTGTCAAGCTTTAGCACTGGCCCTTTCATGTCTGTCTCAAGAAAAAAATGTTTCCCCTTAACTGATTCTGCTGTTGCTATATCACGGAGTTCCTGTATTTCTATCACTGAAAATAATTAGCAGAAGTAAATTGCCAGATCTGCCACTTGAGGAGATTGACAGCACTAACAAGCTAAACATCTTTGAACTAAGAAGCAAGAAATATAGTTTCAGTGATTCATTCAGATCATATTCTTCAATGAATACAAATTTCTTGGCGGATTCCATGTTTCTTTTCTTATGGTTGTGTGGTAGCTTTCAGTAAATTTTCCATGTATCGTAATTTTATAAACTTGGCTGACAACAAGAAACTATTTGGTCAACTTGAACAAGTTTAAACAAATTCGTTTATGTTTTTGTCCCTGTGACATGATTAACTTTTTCTTTCTTTTTTCTCTGAAGGTGCTGTATCATGATTACTGGTCAGCAGCTCTTTCAGATGGTTTCCATGCAAGGCAATTACCAAAAGCATTTCCATCAAAGCAAAGGACAAATAAAAAATATTCAGATGCTAAGCTACTATATTTTTTTCATTTCAGGAAGAAGAAATCTATCCTTCAGTAAACCAAGTAACTTATATTATTTCTCTGGGGTGTTTGGGTTGCTTAAGTTGACTTACCAGTGCTCTTTCCCACAGATTCTCTGCCAGCTAAGGGAGAAAAGTCAAATAATCAGTCATCTACAAGAATATAAATCTAGAACTAGAAATAAAATAAAACAATGAACTAACACCTTCTTCTTTGGGGCTGAGATGAGCTGAGCATTAGCTTCCGCATATGTTGCCATGTCATTTATAGCTGCATTGACCTTCTCCAGCATAAGCCGACCTCTCATGTACCTGAAGTTGGGCAAAGTTCAATCTACAGAAAAGCAATTTTTTCACCCGAAAAGAGGATAAGATAGGATTGATACGCACGAGGACAAAGAATCCAGCTCCTTGGTGGTAATGTACCATAAAGGCAGAGAGGCACGACCTTTTTTCTCCTGGAATAAGAATAGAGAATGAGAAGAAAAAATGAAATAATTCCCTCCCTTGGTTTAGAAAGAAATCTGAACCATTCAAAGTAAAGAGACATATTTTTGGATCGAAATATACAAAACAAACACGAAGTAGTCTCCTAAAATTCCATTCCATAAGCAACAGTATATCCATCAGCAATGAGAAAATATTACCATCCTTTGCATTAAGCAGACAGATCCTTTCAGACCTTATAGTCAATGGACAATCAGTTTTAACATATGTTACATACCTTGGGTCGTGCAGCAGGTTCTTCCTCAAGTTTCGTAGAGACTAATCCAGAATGTTGTTCCTGGTGTTTAAAGGTTTCTTCCAGAAAACTGGAAGGCCAAACAAATGGAGAATTCATCTACATCAAGGCAAAGGCTTTTGTTTTGGAATAAGTAAACAATCAAATATCAATTTATTTACAAATAAAATTAACATTGAATTCATTTACTAATAATTGGCTAACTTTGAAATATATCATGGAATTTAAAATCTTTTGTGAAAGTAAATTTATGCACTACATCTGACGAAAGACAAAGGAAACTGCAAAAAGCATTTGAAGTTCTTTTCTCTTCTCCAGGCAAAGGTGCAAATTGGATAAAATATATTTGTACAGACTCTAGAATATCTAGGGACATAAATTGCAACTTTGTAATATCTCGTGGTCCTATGGAATTCATTTTTTCAAAAATAGTGTTTAAAAGACAACTCAGAGATTGAACAATTGAAAAGTTGACCAAAAAAATCATACGAATGATTACCTTCTATTAATATCTGAATTCAAGATTCCCACTCTTTCAGGTAAATGAGACGGCATGTAAACAGACATACTATGCAATTTCTTCTGCTGCCTCAAGGATGCTTTGATAAGTTTCTGAGTATGAGAAAGAAACTCTTCTGATTCCGTAACGAGTTCATAGAACAAATTTAACTATGTCATATGAAGTTCAGTTCAGAAGAGTCTAAGTTTATCTAGAGTTGAAATAAATAATTTAAAGCTACAACACTGTTTATTTTCTCTCGTGGCAAATGCAAGATAATGAGAACCTCAAGCAAAAAACTTGGTAAAATTAGGCTAACCGGAGTTGACAATATATCCCCTTAGATCACAAACCGAGAAGCTATAAACAATCCTGACAATTATTAAGAAAACTCAATTCAACAATACGAAAGACAAGTACAAGGTAATTTGAAAATTATGGAACGCTAGAACTGAAGCACTAACAAATAATTCCTTTTCCTAATTTCAATACTTAACCGAGGAAAAAACATAAACTGAAAAGAGATCTAATGAAGGTAAAGTACCTTAGCTTTGGGGATAGCCTCAGTCTCCTCACGCAGCCGATCCTTAATCGCCTGTACCTGCAGCTCCATCGCCTTGACTGCCGTGTCAACCGCCGATAAATCGGAGATGCTGCTGGCCGGGTACACTGCAAGGCGGTGCTGAGATGAAATTTCCGATGCATGGAGAAGAAAATCGAAATGGAGACTCAGAAATAAAGATGATGGAAGAAAAAGTAAATTGGTATTTGACTCACTATTCCGTCCGATGACCAGCTCTTGTAGCTCCGCAATTCGAGTGTTGAAGGAAGATATCAAGGAATCGAGAGAAGAACCAGCTTCCTTGGTATCCATCTGCCTCTCTCTAGAACCGCTGCTCTATCTACAATAGTATAGTAGGGGAATTTCAAAATCTAAGGAAATGCTTTTGGCGGGAAATCTAGTGACCCGGCGTCTCAGGTGGACGATGAAATCCACATTCAAATTAAAGAAGGAATAAGTTTCCATCTATATATATATATATGTGTGTGTGTGTTAAAATGAATAGTAAAACTTATTTTCTGGAATTTTTTGATAATAAATTTATATTCTCCTTCTATTTTGTGTTAGTGCTGTATATTTGCTTTTGTATTTTTTTTATGTTTTTTTTTGCTTGCTCTTTTTTTTAACAAATTAATTGAACGAGTTTTATTAAATTAACTTTTAATTTAGTATTATGATTATGGAATAGGCTGGAGAAGGAAATCAATTTATTATTGTTATAAACACACCTTTGATAATTTAATTTAAGTTATAAAAATCTTTTTTATAAAAACCAGAAGCAAAAATAATCTTGATATATAAATTCTATCTTCTTAATTAGATATTTTTCAATCGGTTTATGGTATTTCGTTGAAGGGTACTTCTCTCAACATTTTCATTAATCCATGTCTAACATCTTACATTTTAGAAATGAGATTATTTTTTCGAATTCTCTTATTCTATCTATTGGTATTTAATTCACTAATTCTTTAAAAAAAAAAATTTTAAAAAATACTTGAAGATTCTTTTCTCTCTAGAGTTTGTGAGATCATCATACCTCAAATATTTGATTTATTATAGTCTAACATTTTTTTTAATAGTTTTGTATTAGATATATGTTATTTAGAGGGTTGAAATTCATTTTTTTACTTTGTTAACATATTAACAATAATAGTAATCTAATTATTTATGATTCATACGTGGATGACAAACAAATTTATAAATTAACATATATATGAAACTCGGTTAACCACTAAGGAATAAAATCAACATGTTGACTTGATTTCACTAAGAGATTTTATTTAATTAAAGTTTGCAAGAATTTGAGTCTTTCTTTCTCTAGATATCATAAAAGAGTAGCCATTGATGTAATTGGATGTAAGTAATGTCTTTCTCCATGACTATCTTAAAAAATATATATATGGTGCTACCTTCTAACTTTGTTAATATACAATTCTATGATTATATAACACTGTCTGCATATTTTTTTTATAGCATAAAACAAAACGTAAGAGTTTGGTTCAAATGAATCAACATCTATCTCTTAACCTATGATTTTGTTGCATCTTTAGTAGACACATCTCCCATCATTTTTTTTATTATAATGATATTCATATACTCTTGTTAATCTAATAGTTGGTATTTATAATTACTGCAAATTCTAATATTACTGTATCTAATAGATCTTCAAACCATAAGTTGAATTCATTATTAAAGGTTTTTATTCTCTCTACTATTTTCTTGGCATGAAGAGAACAAAAGTTTTTGATGGTATAATTCCTCAAAGAAATATTCTCAAAAACTACTTATAATAGTGAAGAGTAAAGAATGTTCCCCTCTTCTATAGACAATTCTATAGAATGCTTCCCTCTTATAATTATAAATTATTAACTCTCTTGTCACAAGATCGATGATGCAAGATTAAAAAAAAAAAA